TCTGGGCCTCCCTTTTCCGTTCCTTGTCAGCTCTGCAATAGAAGCGGCAAAGGACCGAAGCTGTGCTTGCTGTGCCGTACGCAGCCCTGCAATGCTGTGTGCAGTCGTGCGAAGAGCATTTCTCCTTTCCAGCGGCGTCATAGTTTATGTCAGCCAAAGAAATCAAAGCATTTTTTTGTAGGTCAATTTAATAAAGCAGGGCTCCACTGAATGCACGGCAGGTAATTGCTCCTACTCCTGCATGGAGCTGCACTCTCTCAGGGTGGCAGGGTAGCCCTTTTATTGGTTGTTTGAGACTTTTTGAAGTACTGTCTTGCAAAGCGCTTCCCTCCCTTCTCACCAGATAGGTGTTATCACACCTAAATAATTTGCATTGGGTTGTACATTTTAGAACTGGAAAGATGAAAATTGCTTATCTGTGGGGAATACATCTACCCGTTTTCCACAAGTTGCTGGAGAAGGAGAGCCATGGCATAATCGTGAAAACAAAGTAGAGGATATGTTTTAAATAATCAATTTATCAGACAAGAAAAAACACCAGTGCAACGGGCACTGCTGAAATGTCTAAGTCGTTCCGGCCATATCTGCTTGGTTTTTAAGTGAAGATGATGACATTACTTTATATTGATAATATGTCTGGTGTTATAGCTTACATCATGGTTTTTTTATAGTGATGTTAAAATATGTGAAACAGGTTTTGGATTTGGCAGGTTTTGGCTCTTTTTTTAAACCAGTGGGTTAAGGTGCTTTGTGCACTTCTTACTGTGTTCATATTGCAAGAATCTCCTAGACGTTGTTACAGAAAGTAATCACTTGTGCTAAAATTTCTTACGCTATTTGACTTCAAATACAAACATTTTAATGTGCTAACATAAATTTATCAATGCTTACGTACAGCATTTCAGTACAGTGGGGAGGAAAAATACAGTTTTTCTGTTTGAGAAACCTCAGTCAGATTTTAAAATCTGGACCGCAGCAGCAAGCTGAAATTTGGAGGTTAGTCTGGCTGAAGGAGGAGGTTCGGTAGTTTTTGTTCAATGGCTTAACCAAATCGGGTTCAGTGGGTCTGTAAAGTTTTAGTCTGAGGTAGAGCCCAGAGACTTCCAGAAGTATCCCATTGCACTAGGTCCTGTACAACTATTTCAAAGTGGTCCTTACTCCAGATACCTTCCCATCTAAATACAGATGAGGACCATCTCACTGTTTGGCCAGGAAAGAAGAGTGCTGCTAAGACGGCTGATCCCTTCTTCCTTTAGGGGGTGGCAGTTAGTCTGCATGGAGGTAGTTTCTGTATGCCCTGCAGAGATGTGTTGGGGGGGGAGGGTCCTACCTGGTACAAATTCTGAATCTCTATTGTAATGGACAAGTGTTCTGATTTTATTGCAATTAACTGGAGACTGATTATCTCAGCAATGATTCCTGTGACTGCAGCCCGTTTCATCAGCCTGAGTGCAAAAGCAAATACCAACGGTTAGGGATATTGCTCAGGATAAGAAAAGAATTAAGAGGCTAACTGCTTTACCATGTTTGGCTACCACCTGAACTGTTTGAGGAGAGATGAAGCAAGTATAATGAACTGATTAACACATAATCATTGATGTAACTTTTATAACAACATTATATGCACTTGCTGGATCCCATAATTTATACTCCTTCAGTTCGCTGTGTGCTATTCTTTCATGCCTCGCACGCGCTTTGCTATGGCTGATGTTGGAAGACTAGCATAATTAAGGAGGGGCAAATGGGTAGCAGGTCTGGGCACTGCCTTTGAAGAAAAATAGCCATCACCCCAGCTGGTGGCTGGCTGTGCTACCATTGCCAACAGTCTGGCAGCTGGCGCTGGTCCCTGTGCCACCGCTGTCCAGGTGCAGAGCTGCCCTGTGATGCCTCTCCGTAGGAAAGGAATTTGTACCGTCAGAAAAATGTTTACTTAAAAAAAGGAATACAGCAATGTATCTAAAAAACCTTTTTTTTTGCTAATTACACGCTTAGTATTCTCATAGACATGATCAACAATTCTGCTTTATGATGTGGAAAGCATCTCCAGCTAATACATCACAGCGCAGCCTGCTTTTTCATTCTGTGAGCATCCACCCTCTGTGAAGTTAATCGCAGAGAGAAAATGCAGGGAGACCATTAACAGCACCCTATATGTGCAGGACCCTCCCATTTGCAAAATGGCATTGAATTCCCGAGACCTGTCTGCTACAGATCGTAGTTATGCACTTCCCTGTCTTAGTTAAATCTGGATTTGTGATTTGGGCATGGCAATGGACTTTGTAGGCGAGGAAAGGAAGAAAAAGCTGATGCGCCATGACACATGGGCAGCCCCAGGATTTTGTGAAAGGGGGTATGGGAGGAGTGACCAACTGCATAGGGGTGGATGCACTCCCAGCTCTCTCCCACTGGGACAGGCAGACCATGTTGTGGGAGCAGCAGCCAGAGACTTCTTTTGAGTCCCCGAACTGGGTAACACTCCCTCTCTACCCGCCAGCTCCCCATACCCTTCCTCTTGTACTCAGTGGCATGTCTCTCCCTTCCTCTTCCCAACTCCTGCTGCTGTCCCTGCTGTCTCTGGCTACTGCAGGGGTGGGGGAGCTCCCGAGCTGCTCCTGCCCCTCTTCAGAAAAGCTGCCTATGGAGTCAGGCTCAGCCAGGGACAATGGGAGCAGAAGCAGCAGGCAGGTTTCCCCTTCCTGCCCTGTCCTTCTCAGGTCTTTCCTGCCAGCCTGGGAGACGTTTAGGGAGGGGGAACCAACCCACTGCTGCTGCTGTCCCTGGCTGAGCCTGGCATCCTCAGGAATACCTCAGTTTTATACAGCCCTCTTCTACTAAGAGCTCGGAGAACTTGACAAAACTAACTTCCTCAACCCCATTTTATAGATGGGGAAAGCTAAAGTATGTTGAAAATATTCTGCACTGGAGACACCACATCTGGAGTACTGTGCCCAGTTTTGGGCCCCCCACTACAGAAAGGATGTGGACAAATCGGAAAGAGTCCAGCAGAAGGCAATGAAAATGGTGAGGGAGTTGGGGCACACAAGGAGAGGCTGGGGAAGCTGGGCTTATTTAGTCTGGAGATGAGAAGACTGAGTGGGGATTTAGTAGCAGCCTTTAAATACCTGCAGCGGGCTTGCAAAGAGGATGGAGCTCAGCTGTTCTCAGTTGGGGGCAGATGGCAGAACAAGGAGCAATGTCCAATGTTGCAGCAAGGTAAGTTTAGGTTGGATATTAGGGAAAACTTTCTGACTAGAAGGGTGGTGAAGCACTGCAACAAGTTACCCAGAGAGGTGGTGGAGTCTCCATCCTTGGAGTTCTTTAAGGCCTGGCTTGACAAAGCCTTGGCTGGGATGATCTAGTTGGGGATGGTCCTACTTTGAGAGTGGGGCTGGAATACATGTGACCTCCTGAGGTCCTGTCCAACCCTAACTTCCTATGATTTGGTGAAGCAAATCATTGAACTTCACCCACAAATCCAGTGGCTGGCCAGGAACAGAACCTCAGGGCTTGTCTGCAGCACCTCCATGCAGAGCTCTGTCATGAAGCCTGCTCTACCCACTCACTCCCATTTTGCACTAACCAAATCCCCCATAATGCGGCTTTGTAGCCACCTCGAAGTGGCCCTGCATGCGTGCCAATAACACACTCGACAGAACAAAGGCTAGCTTGGAGCGGGTACTCAGTGCTGGTCTGAAGGGTCATTTTTAGGACCTGGTACATACGGAAGGGCAGTGAATAGGTAGGGACTGCTTCTGAGGTGTGGCATGGAGGCAGTGTAGACGCATCCTTCATGTCCTACGTACTGATCCAGCGTTCCAGGTCACATTTCCTCCCTTTTCCCTGATCTCAAATGCCAACTTGCATCAGGCAGATTAAATTACTTTTTCAGTAGACTTCAAGCCATGGCAGAAAAGTGGAAGGAAGGTTTGGCACTGTCAGAGCGTGGTATACACAGGCCAACTGTTCATCTGGATAGAGTGTTGCTTGCTTGTCTGCATGTTCAGGAACAAGAAAGCAGAAGGAACAGGAGTACGGGCAGGGGATGCTGCAATAAAAGTAGTCCTTAGCAAGGAGAAAAATAATCATCCAAGACTAACTGTGATTGTCAGGCTCTGCTCTGACGAGCAGTAATACATATTTTTCCCCACTGCCTCATGACAGCATTGAGCCTGGGAGATGTGTTTCTCCATCCCAATTTTTCCTTTGTTTCTTGATAGCGTGAAGACTGGTAATTTGCCGCCGGTCTTTACCACCTGGTGGACTTTGCCTCTCCCTTCCCTTTCATGTCTCCTCTATGCCAGCTCAGCTATGCTCATGAGGGAGTAGATGGAGAAAAGCTCCATCATTTTTCTACTCCTTTGCACCTATGTCGCACCCACATTTTTCAATGCGGTGAAATGCCAACCTGTCCTTCTGCACCTAGCTACACACTCTGCATACTCCAGGTAAGAGTGCAAAGAAAGATATGGCATTGTTTGAGGTTAATGCAAACCAGAATATAGTCCTAACTGAGTGGACACCCAGGGCAAGGTAGAAGCAGTGACTTGATGTGATCGCAAACGTGAACATGTGGTTACAGGTAGTGGCCACTTTTATTTTTTGCTCCCTCGACCTTGCCCACGTTGGCTCCAGGGGAAGTTGCCCCTAACACCCCTGCCTGACTCCCATTTACACCACTGTGTGTATGTATATGTATGCGCATGGGTGTAAGGGTAATTTGCCCAGCTCTTTTGTTAAGATTATGGCATCTAATTAGCAAACGTTGACAATCCACATATTTTGCAAATCTCCCTTCTCACACTAGGAAGACAGTGCAATTCATTCAGCCCTACTGAGGTCTCCCCAGCAAAGACTTTAATAGCCTCTTTTTTTTTTTTTTTTTTGGCAAACTGCTTATTTGACAATTTATCTCAATGTTTTCTTGGCATCCTTACTAGCAACTGTTCACATGCCAAATCAACTAATACCCACGCAAACTTGGCTTTTGACCTTGCTGCCACAAACCTGCTATCTATAAATGATTGATTGAATGCCTGGTACCAGGTGTGAAAGTGCCTGCATGCATGCTACAGTAAATCCATGGCAGGGAAGCTAGCATAATTTTGCTTGTCATGGACAGAAAAGTGAAGGAGCATTGCAGCAAGGGAGAATAAATTACTACTCTCGGTTTTCTTTCCCTTATGAAATGGAGCAAGACGTCTCTGCTATACAATCCAGAACTGGAAAGCTGCATCGTGGTAGTGTGGGGTGCATTCCCCATTCTTCACTGTCTTACCGTGTGCTCTTGTAACTGAAGTCATGACTGTGGATATTTCTTATTTGCATTTTTTCAGAAAATGGTTTCTTGGTGGATAAAAGGGTTGGATCAGGACTACAAAGAACCGGATTCTATTCCTGCCTTTGCCACGAGCTTGAGGGCAAGTCATGTGACCTCCCCTTCTTCTGGTTTTCCCATCTGTAAAATAGGGATAATGATACCGATTTCTTTTATGAAGCACTTGAAGGTCCGGTGATGGAAAGCACAGTAAAAAGCTAAGTGCTGTTCTTCAACCAGATGTACAGAATTAATATCGCCCTCCAAAACGTTACTGTTATAGGTACCACATTGAATAATACTATGTCTATATGAGAGGTGGTTAATTATTCTATTATTTATACCCCTTTGCTGTAAAAGATGCTACATATCACAAAGCCAGTAACAACCCTGCTGTGAAAATCCTGAGTACTGAATACAGAATTGCAACTTTACTATTTTCCTGCAGTCAAAAAAATGAGTGAAAACTCTAAAAGCTGATGTTTTCTGAGAGGTGTTTTGAGTCTAATGAGGGGTCTAAAAAGGCTGAGAAATGCTGAACTAAGCAAAATGATTGCTTTTAGACTCTGGTATGCTGTAGACCTGGGAACTATTGCCTTTTCCAGGATACCTTCAATCTGCTTCTCCTGGGTAAATCCAGGCAAAGTTTGTTTCCAGAGAAATACAGATTCATATTGTCTGTGTTGTTGGCTTCTCATCTGCAGGGGAGCCTGTGAATAATTAATCTAAGCCCTGGGTCTGAAGAGTGTGAGCAGGAGGAGTTTGACACCCATCAGGATCCATCCCTTTTGTTGGCATTCCTAGTTCGATTTCGTAAGGCATCCTTTGTGGGGATGGCATTGTAACGATCCTTTATCCTCCTTTCCCGCATTGTCTCTTCTCATGAGACTGATTGATCCTTTCTTTCATTTTCCTAGTGGTTTTCATCTTTGAAAGCTATTTTATAAATCCAAGAGAATTATTTTAATGAGAGAAAGGGACTGAAGGATGGATGAAGATCACTAGCCACCTCGCTGATGACTAACATGACTGCAAAAAGCCTTGACAGAAGCTTTCTTTGATCTAGAGTTATCTGAGAAATTGTCCTTTTTTCTTCAATGCCAGGCACGTTAGTTTGAATTGTGTGTCCAATAGCTCTTCCTGGTTTGAACAGTTTGTTCTTATTCCATTATCTAGTATTGCTCTTTTAATAACTTCCTCTTCATGCTTTGTAGAAACCATGGTTCATTTCTTCCAAACCCACATAGATCACATCCATCCAGGCTGGAAAAAAAAAGTTTGTCCTGTTGTCAGCCTTCGTTAGCTTTCAAGCCTTCCCATGTGAACCAGATGAAGTTTAAAATGAGCTCAGATGTTAACGATAGCATTCTTGATATAATTTTCTCATGTTCCTAAAGCTTTTCAACATTTTCCTGAGACCACGCATATTTTGAGTATGCCATCTTATAGCTCAGAGGTGCCCAAAGGGAAGTAGTTATGCTACAAGTGGCATGGGCAGCCTGTGTGTGGGGCACATGGCCGATTGGGGAGGCAACATCAGTGCAGCTAGGGCAGGAAGCAGAAAGCAGAGCAGCAGATCAGGTGAAAAATCTTTGAAAGAGGAAGGGGATCAAAGTGGCACTTGGGGCATGGGACTAGTTTGTGGCACACCTGCCAAAAAGGTTGTTCTCCACTGTTATAGCTGCCTATAAAGGGCATAGAAAGACTCCCGTTGACTTCAGCAGGCTGCAGATGAAGTCCCAGGTATGCAATGCACCTCAAGGTCTAAGGCAAGCAGCTTTGCAATTCCATCTCTGTAGGAGGAAACAGAGGGGTTTAAATGGTAGTTTGACAGCTTTTTATAGATTTTCTTAACTTAGCACTGACAAAATAATATCCTACCAAGCTCTCGGAGCCTGAGCATTTCTAATTGTTAAGCAAAGGAACAGAATGTAATAACCAAAGTGTGTACCTGTTAAATTGTTATTGGTTTAGTGCTGCTAGGAATTAAAATGTGGAATCTGCAGGGGGAAAGGCTTTGAAATTAGCCACACAGGGCAAATCACAACTTCACAGACTTTGCTAAGAGAAGGGTGATGCTAAGCTACATCTAGCCAAGAGCAGGGTAAGGAAGCAACTTGTGACTAGGGAAGCTCAATCTGCGCCCTTCCCCGCTTGATGCTCCTTTGCTTTGTAGAGAAAAGGTTGTGACTATTATTACCCTGTCCTTTCCCATAAAATAGCTTGTTTCTTCTGTGAACTCAGCTGACTTTTCTGGGTAAAAGCCAGGGCTTTTCCCCATTTCCTTACCTCATGACTTGCAAGGAGGGAGCATTGCATCAGCTGATATTGGACAAGCAGAGTCTGAGCAAGACAATGAGTCTGAGGCTTTAGAGCTGTCACAATCTGACACACATTAATTTATTGCAATATATTAAATTTACTAACCAGGAAATGAGTGAGAAAAAGAACCAAGAACATGTGTTATGGAGCATTGAGTTACAGGGGGGATTAAATAATTATCTGAACTTCCACATGGAAGAATTTCTACAAGAGAGAGATTTTTTGTAGTAGAGTATATTTTTCCCTGCACCTAAACCTCCAGAGATTATTGAATATGGCTTCAAATGATTATGCCCAAACCCTAATAATAATAATACAACCCCCCCCCAGATATATGCATTTACATGTAGCATCATGCTTAAGCTTATTCTTGCCAGCCGTCCATCGATATGAGGATGACAATCTAGTAGATAAGGAAGTCATTGGTGAATCCAGGGATAACTTAAGAGGCCAGTCCGAGATCTGCATGTACCAGGAGGAAGGAGCGGATCCCGGTGATGTTGGGTCACAGCTCTATCCCTTTGTCTCTCTCACCTCTTCACCACCATAGTGAGGCAAGTTTGCTCAAAAAGGTTGATGCCTTGTTGTATTTCACAGAATCACTGGGGATGATTCAGTGCTCAGACCTCCCAGGTATTGATGCTAATATTGCATGTCTTCAGATGACAAGTGCTGTCCAACAGAATTGGTGCCATATAAACATGGTTTCAATGCTGGTAGTGTTTGCTTGAGCCAAAGCACTGGCATTTGTTCTTTTGGCCTTCCGGTTGATATGGAGAATTTTTCAAAGACGTTGGTGGTGGTAACATTACCAAAGCTTTCAGGTGTTTCCAATATGTTGTCCAGGTTTCACACCCCTACAACAGGGTAGGGAGGACAACAGCCTGGTAGATGATAAAGTTGACTTTGGTTGCGCTGCATTTGGACATCTCAGAAATCATGTCTTGGATGATCATGACCTCAGGACCCATTTCACGATGCTTTGAGCTATTGTAAAGGAGGTCAGTGCAGAGTAAACCAGGTGGCATCCATTCATCAGAGCGCCCCAAGAGAAGGCAAGGTCAAACAGTCACAAACTCCTCCAAGACCATTTCAGGCTGGCCGTAAGGAAGAACTTGTTTACTGTCCAAGCCCCCAAGGCCTGGAACAGACTTCCGCCGGAGGTGGTGCAAACACCTACCCTGGGCTCCTTTAAGAGACATTTGGATGTTTATCTTGCTGGGATCCTTTGACCCCAGCTGACTTCCTGCTCCTGGGGCAAGGGGTTGGACTCGATGAACTTCCAAGGTCCCTTCCAACCCTAATGTCTATGAAATCTATGAATTTTACAGGCCTGAAAGATTCATGGTTTCCATGATTTTTTTTAAAGAATAAATATTTAGCATGAAGCACTTTATATATTTGTAAGAGGGTTTGTTCCATCCCCAACCACATTAAGAGACACCGTCCAAATGTTTTACTAGTGGCAGATTAATTTTCTATGCAGCATATCTAAAGGAAATGGTCAGAATGTGTTTGGGAGAATCAAATGGCTGTGTGGAAATATGTGAAACTTGCTAAAGGATTATATGATGAATAATTTAAAAGCTAAATATAAGCCAAGTAAAGAAATAACCTAACAATGAGAATCCCTTACCAAACAGGGCATCTGAGATTTTACAAACAGCGAAACAAATGCGTTTAGGGTTGCACAAGCATACATAAGAGAGGCAGCTGGGGAATTCTGGGTCTGCAATTAAAAAAAAAAATCATAGACTTGTTAGATCTATTCTAATTAGGTAAATTAAGTGCCTAGGGGATATTGGACCAGATTCTCACCTGGCATAAATCTGTGTCACTCCACTGAAGTTAGTGGAACTGCATTGTCTTACACCCACTAAGGGTCTGACCTGCTAGGTTAAAATATCAGATTTTCTTTTCTTTTTAATTAGTAAAGCTGTTCACCCTTCTTTCCCTTAAGGATAAAATAATATTTCTGAAGAGCCAGTGGAAGCAGATAGCCAATTCAAAAAATTCAGTGTGAAGAAATGAGTTCTCAAGTGACTATTTTTTGTCTGCTTAACTGGTCACAGTAGTATAAACTAGGTATTTCGGACTGGAGCATCAGCAATACCTTGGCATACAACATAGTGGAAAGGCTTCATTTTTCTTTTGTTCTTTTTTCCCCATTACCTAATGTCCTTGTACTTTCAGAAGGGCTTTGCTGGGTGCATCTGCCATATTTCTACCTTTTAAAAAATCTTTTGGTTCCATTCATTCTTTCCCACATACAGCGAGCTGGCAGTATCTGCAGCACATGGATATAGATGAGGATAAATGTCCAACTTTTAAACTTTCACTTTGATTAAATGTTACATTATTTTCTAAAGCTGTGAGCTCAGTGACCCAGCAGCTAGAAATGGAAGAGCTCTACAATATATGGTAAAAATCAGCTAGTGATTTGAAGGTATTTACTAGGTGAGCAATATGGACTTAAAGTAATTATTTTGCACCTGTTCTATACATACCGTTTATGTAATTGCTTGATATGTCCAGTAAAAGTGGGGTGGTGCAATAGCTTCATTTAGATGTTTAACAAGACCGTATACTCTCTAGCATCTTGTATCTAAAGATCACAACATGTGTTAGTATTGTTATTGCATTAAGTCTTACAGAACCTTGACATGATTAAGTACCATGATTATTTCACACTGGCGATTGAGGCACTGATGGCCAAATTCTGTTCTCACTGATACACATGTATTATAGGGCTGTGTGAGGTGGGCAGTATTCGATTCAGATTTGGCCCGATTCGGGGGCCAGTGATTTGATTCGCTGATTCAGATCACTGTCCTGATTTGATTCACCCGAATCTGAAGATTTGATTCTGATTCAGCGAATCAGTAATTCGGCCGTAGACACAGCTTCATATGTGTTTTCTACATACTTCGAGGTACCAGGCGTGGCTCATGAATGCTGAGATGGTGGGGTGGATGGAGCATCCCTTGGGAGCACAGGGGTCCCCCGCGTGCTTGGCAGCAGACCCAGAAGTGGACCAGAAGTACTTCCAGACCACTTCCAGGTCTGCTGTGAAGCACACAGGGGAATCCCCCCACTACCTCCTGGCTCAGCGACTTGTGCCTCCTGAGTCTG